TGGCCAATCATCTAGCTTTTATGAAGTCTCAGGTCTTTTTAATTTTTATGAAGTCCAGTTAGTAGTTTTTGCTTTTATGGTTTCTGTTTTTGTGGTTATTTTTCATGCAATGTCATGTTCTTTGCAAAGAGATAGTTTTACTTTTTCTTTTCTAATGTGAATTTTAAAATTTTCTTGTTCTTGCCTGATTCCATGGCATGAACCTCCAGTGAAATGTCAATAGAAGTGGTGAGAGTGGACATCCTTGTCTTAGTTTTTACCTAAGAGGAAAGCATTTAGGTTTTCACTATGCAGTATGATAGCTGTGGATTTTTCGTTGCTGCCTTTTCTCAGGTTTAAGAAGTTCCCTTCCATTTCTGGTTTGTTGAGTATTTTTATTGTGAAAAGGGTGTTGGGTGTGGTCAATTGTGCTTTTTTTTTCTGCATCAGTTGAGATGATCATACGGAATTTTTCCTTTATTCTTTTAACATGGTGTATTATATTGGTTGAGTTTCATATGTTAAACCAGAATTGCATCCCTGGAATAAATTCCACTTTGGTCATGGTGTGTAATCCCTTTATTAAGCCGCTGGATTTGGTTTGCTAGTATTTTATTGAGGATATTTGCATCTATGTTCCTAAAGGATTTGGTTTGCTAGTATTTTATTGAGGATATTTGCATCTATTTTCGTAAAGGATATTGAGTAGTAGTTTAATTTTTCTTGTAGTGTCTTTGTTTGATTGTGGTATCAGAGCAATGCTGACCTCATAGATTGAGTTGGAAGGTATTCCTCAATTTTTTGGAAGAGTTTGAGAAGGATTGGTGTTAATTCTTCAGACATTTGGTAAAATTCGCCAGTGAAGCCATTAAAATTGGACTTTTCTTTGTGGGAGGTTTTTAAAGAAATTATCACTAATGCAATCTCTTGGATTTTTTTTTTTTTTTTTTTTTTTTTTTTTTGGATTTTAAAGAAATTATCACTAATGCAATCCTTTGGATTTTGTTTTCTTGAGCCCATTTTACTTGTGTCTCTATAGAAATTAATCCATTTCTTCTAGGTTGTCTAATTTGTTGGTGTACGATTGTTCATAGTATTCCCTTAAAATTGTTTTTATTTCTGTAGGGTTGGTATTAATGAGCCATCTTTCATTCCTGACGTTAGTAGGTTGAGTCTTCTCTCTTTTTTTTCTTCGCTAGTCTATTTAAGGTGTGTCTGTTTTGTTGATCTTTTCAAAGAACAAATTTTTGGCTTCACTATTTTCTTGTTTATTTGTAAATCATCTACTTGAGTTCTTTCTGCTTTATTCTTTATTTCCTTCTTTTTGCTTGCTTTAGATTTAGTTTGTTTTTCTCTCTATAGTTTCTTATGGTGAAAAGTTTTGTTACTGACTTGAGATTTTTGTTTTGTTTTGTTTTTGTTTTTTACTTTTTAAAATTTATTTTTGAGAGAGAGAGAAGGGGAGGGGCAGAGCGAGAGAGGGAGACACAGAATCTGAAGCAGGTTGCAGGCTCTGAGCTGTCAGCACAGAGCTTGACACAGGGCTCGCACCCACAGACTGCGAGATCATGACCTGAGCCAAAGTCAGAGATTCACCCAACTGAGCCACCGAGATGCCCTGAGGTTTTTTTTCTATTATAAGCATTTACATAAATTTCCCTCTGAGCACTGTTTTTGGGGCATCTCATAAGTTTTGGTATTTGTGGTTTTGTTTTGTTTCATCCTGAAGTATTTTCTAATTCACCTTGTGATTTCTTCTTTGACACAATGCTTACATGTTTAGGAGTTTGTTTAATTTCTGCATATTTGTTAATTTCTCGTTTCTTTCCTTGTGATTTCTAATTTCATTCCAGTGTAGTTGGAGACCGTATACTTGTATGATTTCGATTCTTCTAAGTTTATTGTGATTTGTTTTGTGTCCTGACATGTAGTCTGTCCTAGAGAATATTATGTATTGTGCTGTTGTTGGGTAGAATGTTCCATATGTATCTCTTAAGTCTAGAGAATTGTTCATGTCTTCTATTTCCTTATTGGCTTTTTGTCTAGTTCTGTCCATTATTGAAAGTAGGTATTGAAATACCCAACTATTGTTGAATTGTCTATTTTTCACTTTTGACAGTTTTTACTTAATATATTTTGAGACTTTGGTATTAGGTGCATATATGTTTATAATTTCCCTCTAAATGCTGCTTATTATATCCCAGACATTTTGATGTGCTCTTTGGTTTTTTTAGTCCAAAATTTATTTCCCTTGTGCTTTTATTTCCTCTTCTCCCCACCCCTCTCCTCCTCCTCCCGACTCATGATTTATTTATAAATATATTTTTAAATATTCAAGTATTTGGTACTTTTTAAGATTTTTGTTTTTGATTTGTAATTGTGGTCAGAGAACATACTTTGTAAGATTTTTCTTTAAATTTATTTAGCTTTTTTTATGTCTCAGCATATTGTCTATTGGTAAGTATTTCATGAGAAATTGAAAAGTATATGTTTTCTTTATCTGTTGCCTGAGTAGTCAGTTTTGAAAGTTCATGAGAGCTTGACTGCCCCAGCCCTTTTAGACCTATTAAGTACACCTTTTACAGTTCACTATTGGAATGGACAAAAATCTTCTACATTTCAACTCTTTCTTTAAATGCTCATGTCTTTCTTTCTAGTAAATGCTCACTGGTTATTTTTGAGTTCAAAGAACCTTTCTCCTAAGCTTTCCCAGAAATGTCTTCACTCTTCATGTGGAGTGATGTAGAATTTTATATATACACTATGATACATATATTTATTTGCCAGACTTATTCTCATGGGCAGAGATAGTTTTCATCCTTAACATTTTAGTAGCAGATGACCAATAAGTATTGGAATTTTAATGAGCCAAACTCTGTAAGACTGGACTTAACCTATATGCTTTTAGTCTTTTAAGACCTACTTTACCTTAGTGCATTATTTCGTAAGGTGTTATAATTACTATTTGATGATTCTGGGTTTAAGATAGATTCATTCCTAGGTGTTTTGTTTGTTTGTTTGAGAGAGAGAATTTTAACCAGGCCCCACTCCCAGTGAGGAGCCCTGTTGGGGGGCCAGGGAGGGAAGGCTCAAGATCATGACCCATTGAGTCACCCAGGTGCCCCTCTGTAATTTAAAAAAACAAATTTTTTCCCCCAAAATACCCAAGAATAGGGGCGTCTGGGTGGCTCCGTTGAGGCGCCAACTTCAGCTCAGGTCATGATCTCACAGTTCGTGTGTGAGTTCGAGCACTTTGTCAGGCTCTGTGCTAACAGCTCAGAGCCTGGAACCTGCTTTGGATTCTGTGTCCCCCATTCAGTACAAGGACGCTTCTTCTCTCTCTCTCTCAAAAATAAACAAACATTAAAAAAAAAACAAACCCAAAACAAAAAAGACCTCAGAATAGAACCTGGGTGGCTCAGTTGGTTAAGCATCCAACTCTTGATTTTCACTTGGATCATGGTCCCAGGGTCGTGGGATTGATCCCTGCATGGGGTTTTGTGCTGGGCGTGGAGCCTGCTTAAAATGATCTCTCTGCTTCTGTCTCTGCCCCTTCCCCACTTGCTCTCTAATTTAAAAAAATTACAGAAATTGATTAAAAATAGTTTTGAGAATTCCCCCTTGCATTTGCTATATGCGAATTTTCCTTTTCTAAGGAGTGCTGTGCTGAAGAATTAAGGAATTAAGACATCATTTACGTACTTTAAATAGGATTTTAAAGTAAATAATACATGCCTTGAATGATAAATCACTTTAGAATTAACTTTGACTCTTCAGGGAAAAAGGCAGCATTTTTTATTTTGGGATGGCGAGTTACAACTGAGTACCATTTGTTTATAGGGAAAAAAATAGTTGTTTGTAAAGGTGTCTAGGGACTTCTCTGATGAATCCTTTGAGTGTGGGGTTTTTGTTGGAGTAGATTGTGTATGTGTGTGTATGTATGTATAACTTCCTAAAAGTTTCTAACATTTTTTCTGTGACTCTTGATTTAGTAAAGACATAATGTCTTAAGCATAAGTCGGTGAAGACTAACTACCCTTTGCCAGGATTTTTGGCATCTTTAGGCTTTGGGAATGCTTAAAAGGAGTTAGACTTTTCTGTGAATGCATTCACTATTGTGAGTAGCATTAATGTTCTCTGCAGTTTATAGTCTTTTCTAATTCCTTTTTCATTTTGAAGCTCAGGATGGTAAGATGAATGTATTCTTTATATAATTGAAAAAACAGTTAAGTGACTATAGTTTAGCAGGGATTGAAGTAGGATTGGAATTCACATTTCTTAATTCTTACTTTGGTAATTTTTATATTCTCTTTCAGATTCTAATTTAGGGTATATTCTTAACTACCTCTGTCTTGATACAGTTTTGTCAGCCATTAATTTTCTCATCTATAAAGTGAGAGAGTTCAAGTAGATTGCCTCATAATTTCTTTTCGATGTGAATTTGATTTTTAAAGTATCATGTGTGGTAAGATAAAATGATCTTATAAAATGAATGATTCAACTGCTCTTTTTACACTGCATGATTATTGATCATTAGAATCATGCTCAGGTAATTAATTCATTCATTGAGGGTTTTCCCACTACATTATGAGCTCCAGAAGACAAAAATCTTCTGTATGTGGTTTACTGTTTATGAGGTGCTTATCCTAGCCCAGTGCCTTGAATGTTGTAAGTGCTCAATAAATGTTTCTTGACTGAATGGTTGAATGAATGGTAATATTGGCATGGGTGGAGGTTGCACAGTGCTGTGGAAAGAGTATGCGCACTCTTTGGTGTTACTCATATTTTTATTAGATCATAGGGTAAAATATTTCAGAAGTTGTTGGGAAGGTTACTTGGGAGAGTATGTAAAAGTTCAAAGCATCCTTTCACTTAAAATTTTGGTTTCTTAATTTAATCCTCTGGAGACCTACACCAAGGGATTTTTAGTTAGAAGGTGGGCACATTTGGCCATGCTAGGTTTAATTTTAATAACCCTTGTTATTTTTCTCTTGTAGTTTTATATGTGGCACCCGTAAAAGATGAGGCTGAGAACACGGAAAGCTTCTCAGCAATCAAATCAAATCCAAACACAACGCACTGCTAGAGCAAAGAGGAAATATTCAGAGGTTGATGATAGCCTGCCTTCAGGGGGAGAAAAACCACCGAAAAATGAAACTGGCTTGTTGTCTTCAATTAAAAAATTCATTAAAGGAAGCACACCCAAGGTAATGGTTTTACCTTGTACTTAAAATTGAAGTTTAGGTTATTTTCTTTAAGCATGCAAAGATGAGAAATCTTAATATTGCTAGTAGATTAAGGAAATGTCTTCATTTTGGTGTTATTTTAAGAGTAGTAACATAAAAAATATATAATGGCCATTCAAGAAAACATTACTTATTCTACTTAACTGACCCACTTTGCCTTCTGTTTTTTCAGCATAGTATTATGAAAAGTAAAAAAAAATTTTCCTTATTTTATGTGAGTTTAATTAATACATTGTTTAGGGAGATGATTTCTCTATCTGAATTGTAACACTTGTACACTGAAAATGTATTACTTCATTAAGGAGGGGGGAAAGTTGTTAAAAAATGGATATGACCAGGAGTCACATGCTTCACATTCATACTCTGGACCAACTTGAATGATCTGAGGAAATTCTTTTACCCCTCTGAACCTTAAGAAGACAGTAAAATGGGACTAATTTTAACTGCTTTGTCTGCCTCAGAGTTGTTTTTACATTAGATGGCAAACAGAAAAGGCAGTTTGAGAAATTTTAATGCACTCTATAAATAGTGTTATTCATTGTATGTATTTAACGTAGACATTAATGAGTAATCCAAGATTTGGGTTAAAAAAAAGAAAGGAACTTGATAGAAAGATAGGTTTTTCCTATGTCTTCTGACTTCTCTTTGTATTCTCTTCCTTCCTTTCTTTTTTTCCTTCTTTCTTTGTTTCTTTCTCTCTCTCTTTCCTTCCTTCCTTCCTTCCTCCCTCCCTCCCTCCCTCCTTTCTTTCTGAGAGATCATGTGCACAAGCTGGGGAGAGGGGCAGAGGGAAAGAGGGAGAATCTTAAGGAGGATCCCAGGACCCTGAGATCATGACCTGAACCGAAATCAAGAGTCAGATGCTTAACCAACTGACCCATCCAGGCACCCCTGTTCATATTCTTTTGATTTGGGCGTTCTTTTATTTTTTATAATGTTTATTTATTTTTGAGAGAGAGAGTGCTAGTGGGGAAGGGGCAGAGAAAGAGGGGGACAGAGGATTTGAAGCAGGCTCCTCACTGACAACTCTGAGCCTGATGGGGGCTTGAACTCAAGAACTGTGAGATTATGACCTGAGCTGAAGTCAGATGCTCAACTGATTGAGTCACCCAGGTACCTCTGGGCATTCTTTTATTAATGTAGCATCATAGCATATCATATCATGCTTTTTTTCTCCTTTAGTAGTAAGATCTGTCTTTGTTAGTTAGCAAATTTTTGCCTGTGTCAACTACACACCCAGGGTTTTCCTACAGAAATTTGTTGTTTGTTTGTTTGTTTGTTTGTTTCTTTCTTTCTTTCTTTCCCAAAATCTTGGATTTTTCATTAATGTCTACCTAAAGATCTTATATTAAAAATAAAAGATGTTAATAAATACAATAGAGCCAAACCTGTTTGCAAACTAATGTCTTATTCATTAATTTGGGGGGGGGGGGCAAGAGTTTTCCTGCAGCCACAAAATCATTTAATTGTACTCTTATTCATTATAGATTTTTAAATTATATTCTATAAGGTTATTATGAAAAATAGTATTGGAATGTCTTGCTAAAATCAAGGTACATTTATTTTTTCTCCCAGTCTACTAACCCTATGTTAGAAGTAAAGTAAATAATTAGCTTGTCATGTATTATTCCTATTGAGCTTATACTGGCTTTTAGTCGTTATTTCTTATTATCATTAAATCATCTTTTTGATAATATATTCTAAAGTTTTATTGAGAATCTATACAGTGCTTGCTTATGTTCAGTATCTTGAATACAGTGTTATCTTTTTCAAAATTTGGGTGGCGGTTGGCAATTAATGTTTATTGAATATATTTAATTAGGTGCTTTATATCTAGTATCTCCTTAATTCTTATAACTATCTTGTTATTTTATAGAAGAGAAAAATTTAGGCCTAATGAATTTAGGTAACTTGCACAATGTCAATAACAACAATAATTGTAATGTCCGAATAAAAAAGAACGATAAAGAACAAATAGAACAGTAATAACTGTCAGCAATTGAGCAATTAATATGTGTCATGTATTGTTCTCAGTGCTTTAAGCATAATAACTTCTTTAAGACTTTCAAACCATATGAAGTAGGTGCTATCATCTCTATATTACAGATGAGGAAACTAAGGCACAGGAAGTTAAATAACTTGTACAGAGTTACTTAGCTTTAAGTGGCAACACTGGCATTAAAGCCAAGAAAGCCTGGTTTCAGAGCCTACATTTTAATCCCAGTATGCACTACTGCCTCTACAATAAGCAACAATACTGAGGTTTAAACCCAGTTACAAGGGCCCCTGGGTGGGTCAGTCGGTTAAGTGTCCGACTTAGGTTCAGGTCACGATCTCATGGTTCTTGAGTTTGAACCCCGGGTCAGGCTCTGTGCTGACAACTCCGAGCCTGGAGCGTGCTTCAGAGTCTGACTCTCTCTCTCTCTCTCTCTCTGCCTCTCCCCCTGCTTACGCTCCCTGTGTCTCAAAAAATAAATAAATGTTAAAAAAAAATTTAAACCCAGGTACCTTTGACTCTCATACCTTTGACACTCATATAGTGCTCTTTCTACTATACCATCCTTTCTCAAAGTAGCTAGATAATGTCTTTTTTTTTTTTTAATTTTTTTTTTTTTAACGTTTATTTATTTTTGAGACAGAGAGAGACAGAGCATGAACGGGGGAGGGTCAGAGAGAGGGAGACACAGAATCGGAAGCAGGCTCCAGGCTCCGAGCTGTCAGCACAGAGCCCGACGCGGGGCTTCAACTCACGGACCGCAAGATCATGACCTGAGCCAAAGTCGGCCGCTTAACCGACTGAGCCACCCAGGCGCCCCTAGATAATGTCTTAATAGAATCTTGTGTAAGGATTGAAAATTCTTTTTGATGAAAGCAAGTAAGAGTTGAATATTCTATGCTACCTAACCATTTTGTCATTTATATTCTATCATCATTTCAAAGCTGCTTGAAGCTTATTCTTTTTATAGGAAGTTTTTCCTTCTAGTATTTTTTGCATATATTTTCATCTTCTGTTTTTATTCTGGCTGGATAATAAACTACTGCTCTTACCTCTACAAGTATCCTTTTAAAACCACATTAGTTAGACAACTCCTTGTGCTGTCTCTTTTGTTTTTTTGGTTCCTTTCATTTTTGTCTGCTTTTAGACTTTTAAAGATACGTGGCAGGGCCCCTGAGTGGCCCAACTTCTGCTCAGGTCATGATCTCACAATTTGTAGATTTGAGACCTCGCGTTGGGTGCTCTGCTGTCAGTGGCGAAGAGTCCGCTTAGGATCCTTTGTCTCCCTCTCTCTTTCTGCCCCTCCCCAACTTGCACTCTCTCTCAAAAATAAATAAACACTAAAACAAAAAGGTATGTGAACTCTTTAGATAAGCCTTCTTTTGAGCTGTAGTCCTTTCTAAGGTATCTAACATTGCTTTCATGCCTGTCTCAGGAGCCCGACTTTTTTTTTTTAATGTTTATTCTTGAGAGAGACAGAGACCGAGTGTGAGCAGGGGGAGGGGCAGAGAGAGGGAGACACAGAATCCGAAGTAGGCTCCAGGCTCTGAGCTGTCAGCACAGAGCCTGACGTGGGGCTCGAACCCACGAACCGAACCATAAGATCACGACCTGAGCTGAAGTCGCACGCTCAAATGACTGAGCCACCCAGGTGCCCCAGGAGCCTGACTTTTTGAATGTGCTCTCCTCATATCACCCTACTTTTTTGCTCTTTTGTTTACTATTAAGATGGCTAGGATCAGTGGCTGTGGGTGCTTGCTAGTTTACCATTGCTGACTTGTTTTTATATTTTTATATTACTACCAAGTTTTATAATATGTATTCTAGTCTTAATTTTGTATAAATTAGTCATGAGTGTATTTAGGTAAACCAAACATAGGTTGTTAATTTATGAATATAAGGAGTATGTAGTAGTTTGCTAGGATTGCCCTAACACCAGAGACTGGGTAGCTTAAACAACAGAAGTTATTTTACAGCTGAGAAGCTAGAAGTCCAAGATCAGGGCATCAGCAAGTTGGTTTCTTCTGAGGCCTCTCTCCTTGACTTGGATGGCTGCCTTCTTGTTATGTTCTTCCATAGTTCCCCTCGGTCCTTTATATTGTCTGTGTTGTAATCTCCTCTTCTTGTAAGGACACCAGTCATAATTGGATTAGGGCCTATCCTAATAGGA